GTACGTACTTAATTTAGGTTAGCTCTCATTATCATTACTTATACTCTTGTTATTGAGATCAGGTAAAGCAAAATCTCAAAAAAAATCAGAATCTTCTCCAATAACCCATAATAAACTTATTCATTAATATGCTATCCAAGATATTTTGTCACACCCAGGATATGAGTAATATTACTAATATCATTCACAATTAAGGCTTTGGCTTTTATTCAAGATCTGATTTATCCCAATGGTAGCATATCTTAGTGAAAGATAACTTTCTCAGTCCTTTAAAGTATTCATCACACAGCTACCTGTCAAGTTTTGATGATGGGTGGAAAATGATGGAGATAGCAGGGAACATTCTTATAAATGTTCCCTGAATATGGCATTTAAAATTTTATCTGTTAACTGTAAAACTGAAATACTCCTGCCAACTAACAGAGCCAAGATGGTACTCATGAAACAAACAAGCCAAACCACCTGAATAAAATCACACTTGTAAAATGGACTGAATAGTTTTGTGGCACCTAATCCCCGCTATGGGCTAATACTCAGCATGGCTGATAGCCAGACTCTAAAATCGACTGATCGTAATGTGTACCTGTGCATATGTGAAGCAAAACACCACTTATTCCCAGGTGGTATTTATCTAAAGATAAATAAGTGAAGTAGTGAAGCCGAAAAATTGCTAACCCATATAGCATTAAGCTAGCTTTACCTCAAACACTTCATAATTTCCATTTATGTTTCATGATATCACCAAGATTGCCATGGATTCATTCTCCTTGCTACTGAGTAAGGGCGGCACTCATTCCTATATCCTCCCTTCCCATCAAATTTAAAACTGTACCAGTATTTTAAGATCTCTAGAATTCAAAGAAATGCACCATTGAATGATCAGAGCAGTCGAGAATGTCAAGTAGATCCATGGTCTGCAATAAATGTCTTCAAAACATAAAAATGATGGAGAAATGAAATTGGAATATACCTTCTCAGCAAAGTGAAAATGTCACTAAGCTATATGACTTTCTGAAATTAAGACATAATTTTGAGAAAATCATTAATCAACAGTTATTAAATACCTGACTATGATAAACAACTTTTGATAGCTGAGATTCCTAGCTAAGAAAATTAAGTTTAAAATTTATTTAAAGTCTCATTCAACTCTCCTTACCTTACACATAAATCTATTCTAACTGGAGTCATTTCATGTTGCCCTTTAAATTTTGAATCCTAGCAACATTCTTATTTTAATCATTCTTAAACACTAATTTTTGAAATGAAGGTTTATCCATTATTTTTACAAAACACCTTAGCTTATCATTAAAAAGAATGCTGACTTAAAAGTTGTATGTTTTATATACATATAATTTGTATCTTGTTTATTAGCACATCACATTCAAAATACTTCACTAGTTGAACAGAGTGGCATATCAATAAATCAAAGGCAGACTTAATCCTGATACCAGAATAATGATGTATGGCACATCTTCATATACGGGGCCACGGGGGAGGGGAAGGCAGGTAACTTCCCACATTAAAGTACCCAAAATTATTTGAGAACTATTTTAATATGTTTAGTTAAGACTTAGTAATTTATGAGGCATAAATAGATATTTGAGAGTGTAATTCCAAATATAGAAAAATAATATAAGTTCGAGCTACATATTTAGTTATTAAATATCATTCTTTTAATGATATTACTAGAACATAAAGAAAAAAGTTAGGGGGTTTGTCTGTTTTTCAAAAGAAAATTAGTCTCTTTACTTCATAGCAGCATTTCTAAACCAGATATGCTTTGGATAATCAATCACTGTAATCCCCTTTTGGTGTGTGCAGGCTTTTTGCAAGAGGGTCCATAGTTTTACTTCAATACTAAATGATGCTGAGTTCTCAAAATTATAAGAACCATGGATTATTTCATTGTTATCAGAGATTTAAATAAATATTGAGTAGATGCCTATCAAAGGGTTAAAATTATTTTATCTTAGTGATAAAAATAATTTTATTATTTTTATTTAATTTGAAAAATACTTTAAAAATATATAAAAAGAAATCACCTGTAAATCTACCACAATGTGCATATACATTGATGTGTATTCTCCCCTCCCACATCTCACACTGGACTTGTTATGTTATATTAACAATTTGAAATGGTCTTTGTAGATATTATCCCAAGTTTATGCAGACATATTTATGAATATTTACATTACATTCACATACGTATTTTTTTATAAAAAGGAGTCCTGATATATATGTACAAAACTTATTTTTATTTTTTAATTACAAATACACTGTGGACATATTTTCAGATCTGAATATATCTACATCATTCTTTTTATTGGTTGTATAACACTGCTCGCCTCCAAACATGTTACATAATTTAGTCCTTCATTATGTTTATTGTCTATTTCCTTCCGTAGATAAGCTTCATTGGATAAAGAGTTCTTCATTTACTGCCATATCCAAGTGCTTAGGTTAGTCCTACCATATAGCAGGTTCTCAACAAATAATTGTTGAATGAATCAAGTTTTAACTAATGTAAACCCATAACATGTTTTGCTATACTCTTATTAATGAACTTATTTTGATTGTGTTCTTTGCTATTAAGAGAAATATTTCAAGACTGTCTCTATGGATCGATCTTCCCTTACTGAGGCAGTTATTTCTTAAATTCCTGGAAGGTAACTCGTAGGTTATAGATTATATACTTTTAAAAATAGTATTGCTAAACTGTCCTCCAAAAATGTTATACCAAATTAAATTCTTAATACAAGATATGAGTCAGACATTTAGTTTTATTCCTTATAACTTTCTGCTTTTCCAATTTCCTATAACCGACATTAATTATCTTAATCAGAAGAGCCATGATTAAAAAAAATTAGTTTTTATTTTCTTGATCGTCCTAGAAACTTAACAGTCTAAAGCTTGAACATAACAGGTATCATTTGGACTATTGTAGTCTTTTTTCACTGATTTAAGTTATTCCAGTACTTAATTTTAAAAAATTGTTATTTCAATGTCTATCAACAATTTACTACCAATTTGCTTATCAAAAGTAAGCCTTACAACATGCTTACTGGAGCAGAAAAATTAGAAAGATATAACTAATTTTCTAAAGTTGATGTTGCCTTATAATTTGCAGAGTAGCACGAAGAGAAATGCTTTTAATAATAAATGATTTTTGACTAATGATGAGTTATTAATAAATAAATGTATTTGCCTCTCAGCCCTTTTAGTTAAAAGTCCAGGGAGGAAAGAAACAAATTAAAATTTTCAGAGTACACGAAGTATATATTAGCTTCCAGGTTTGGAATCTTTCTAAGCAACCAGTAGACTAAAAAAGGAGTTATACAGTTTTAAATTTGACCTTATTGTCAATAAGTGTGACCATGGCTTTGCTAAAGTGTTGTCCTACAAAACTTATACTGTTAACCCGGAGTCATGACACTAGAGCTGCTTATTCAGACCTTCTGATGAATTGCATTGAACCAGTCATATATATCTGCATCTCATCTAAGTAGAAATAGACACAGGGAGGAGTTTGTGTCAGGGTACAAGGATTCCCTTTGTGAAGGGAAAGCAAACGGTAACTGTAATGGGACTGGACCCTCCATCATTGATGGAGGACTCATGTCTTCTGACTAACTTATCCAGGGAAAACATTCATTGTCTCCCAAACAGTTCAAAAGCTAATAAAATTTCATAACCAGTGGACTTCTGATTTATATAAAAGCAAGTTGTAAGTAATGAAATAGAAAATCTGTAATGAATAGAAAAAAGTCCCACTTTAATCAACATTGAAGAATACTTCTAAATGCCATGGGTGCAGTGGCATGATTTTAGACTTCTGCAAAGTAAGCAAGCCCTGCCCTCAAGGAATCTGCATATCACCTAGTAGCCAAGGAGATTCAGAGAAAGAGGTAAGCAAGAAAACATGGCAACTTGAGTCGGCATTCTATCTAGAGGTGAACTTTGTGATGCTTCATTTCAGTGTTACTGTAAGAAATTATAAACAGCTACTACTTGTTAGATGAGCGAACACAATGTGATCATGAAAGAACTGGAAAATCTCAAAGGGGTTTCCCATTAATTAAATTCCGATAGGGATTCAAGACCTAAGTCATCCTTCAGCATTCTGGTTTTTAACTTTTCCCTTAAATTAACATATTTATGTTTACTCAGATTCCTTTATTCATTTTTTCATCTTTTCTCTAGTTATGAAGAAAAAGTTATCTTTCTCTTTTTTAAGATTTTATTTACTTATATGAGAGAGAGAATGGCAGGGGCAGAGGGAGAGGGAGAAGCAGACTCCCCACTGAGCAGACAGCCTGACGTGGGTCTCAAACCCAGGACCCTGGGATCATGACCTGAGCCATAGGCAGATGCTTAACCAACTGAGCTACCCAGCCGCCCCTCTTTCCAACTTTCTAATGCTTCTTAAACTTCAAGTATTTGCATGGATAAGATTCAAAAGGCCTGTTTCTTTAAAAAGGCTTTTGTGAAATTAAATTCTTTGAATAGCTATTATCAAAGTATTATTTTAATCCTAACAAGATCAGGGCCCTAATTAAGCCCCTTGTTGGTTAAAGTCAATATTCTCCTTTTATTACTTAAAGATGTCTGCCAAGGATCTCAAAGGCATTAATTTATTGTGAAATTTTTAGATGAATTTCTTGAAAGGTGTGTCCTCCTATTTATCCAGGTTGCCTGTATATTATTGTCCCATTGTTTACTTTAATATGTTTTTTCCATGCAAATTCAATGTCTCATTCCTTTATTGGGAAGGTACTATCATACTGTTGAACTTGGTAGATAGTCAATCAAAGATTCACTTAATAAGTTAACCCTACAGATACTGATTGAACACCTTCTGTGTACAAAGTAAAACAGTAGCTGCTGAGGTAAAGACAAAAGTAAATTAATCACAGACCTAATTCTCCTAAAGTTAACAATCAAGTGGCAGAGATGGTGACAAGACATATAATTTGGTGCCCGAGTAAAACATTGAGAAGAAAATGGAAGAGGAGAAAGTGAAATTTTTAAGTGTCATCCTTGTGCAGGTCATGCTAGTCTGCTCTGTATGGGTCCAATTTAGTATATGTGCTGCCAGAGAGAGCAGGAAAGTGAAATTTTTAGATATTGAAACTTCCTAATTTGCCATTAAGGCAGAATTTACATAATTACATGGGTTCCACTGCAAAAAACTCTGAATTTTCTTATTTAAACATTTACTACATCTCTCATTTATTCCACATACCATTATTTATTGAACACCTCCTGTGTGTACAATACTGCATAAGGTTATGTCAGAATAGAGAAGTGATGTATTATCTAAAAACAAAATATTTAGACACTTCAGGATTGCTATTTTTCATAGAGATGCTTTTATAGCCTGGCCCAGAATTTTCTAGAGGGCCTAAGCTGACTTTCATAGAAACTACCTTTTATATTGTAGTTAACACTTTTTACATCATTTTTTATCTTAATGTTAAAATCTTAAAGTTCATATTTTTGGACTTTCGTTTCAGAAGGTCTTTGTATTAATGGTAGAAGCCAGGATTTCTGGCAGTAAACAACAGCACAAAAAAGTCATCATACACCTGTGAATCTTAGCATTTATCTGGTAGACTGTGTTAGAAATGATAACATGTAAAGCAGAGTTCTAATTCTTCCAACTGGCAACAGATATCAAGTCATAAGTCCAATTATTCTTTACAGTTCACCAAATATTCTTGGGTCTTGAAGAAGATAACCAAAAAGTGATATATGCACATTATTCACATTATTGTGATGATATATAAGATATTTCACAAATTTCACACTGTAAGGTATTTAGTTTCTTTCAGTGGTGGCAAAATACATTCAGATATGAAAATGCCCACCTAAAAATGCATATGCCAGTTATATTCACTTAGTAATGGCCATGAGTTAATAGTTAATTTGCATCAAATGAATTAAAACACAAGAAAAAATTATTTCTTATTAAAAAGAGAAGTGCTGCTCATAGAAAAATGCTATGGGAAAAACATTCAATATTATACTCAAATGTTGATGCATGAGGAGTGAATACAAAATGTACAAAAGTGCAGGGACTCTGAATCCCATGTGTCCATTTTCAGGAAGCCACTGTAGGATGTGCGTGGTAAAACAAGAAAGAGGTAGACTGGTACCTAAAATAGGGGATCCAAAACAAGAAAGCCAAAAAGTAGAGACCCACCAGGACAGCCATGCTAAGCTTAGTCTAGAAAGCAGCTAGTACAGACTGAAACAGGCAGAGGGGTAAAATCTCCAAATGATCAGATTTATTTGAACATTTGAAAAGATAGTAATGAGTATTTGAGTGATCCGACAGAGGTAGATTGAAAAGGTATATTGAAAATCAAACAAAACAAGATGGGAGCAAAGCAATTAACTCTAAGTAAGCAAAAGACTGAAAAAAGATAAAATATAATATCTACCTCATTTGTTAATAGGCAATATCTACACAGTAAAACTGACCAATGATTTAAGCAAATGTTTTACAAAGATATTGGGAAGATAGAGGAAGGGAAGAGAGGTGAATATAAAAGAGAAATATATAATCAATAGGTAATATCTACATGTGATAAAGAAAAAGTTATATGTATGTATAATTTGTATATGGAGGAGGGGGAAATATCAGACAAATCAACTAAAGTTGTTGAAAGTGAATGTGTCTGGGTAATGGACTAGAAAGGAACAAAGGTAGAGAGGTGTCTGATATTTATTATAACTCTTTCACTTTTAAAACCTTTGTGTATAGCATTTTGATAAAAATCTTTGAATTTTTTTTAAAGAAAGAGAGTACACACGCACACACACACACACACACACACACACACACAAGCTAAGGGGGGAGGGGCAGAGGGAGAATCTTAAGCAGGCTCTCCAACCAGCATGGAGCCCCTATGGGGATCTATGTCACAACCCTAAGATCATGACCTGACCCAAAAACCAAGATTTGGACATTTGACTAAGCCACTCAGGCACCCCCAAATCTTTGAATATTTTAAATTAATATTTTAATATTTTAAATTTGCAAACAACAAAATGCATTCTGCCTAATCTAAGTAGAGAAACAATTTGTTAAGGAATACAAGGGAAATCATAGTTTCATTAAACGGGTTAGTGAAAACAGGGGAGAGGCTGTGTATCCAGCAACACACAAAGATTTGGTCCATTAAAGACATTCCTCCTAAAGCCAAATGCTACAAATCCCAGCTACCACCCATTCCAGAAGAATGGATGTTACCTACTCAGGTTGCTGACTTTTGGATCAGTCTTACAGATTGTGAATGACAGAATATGGATTCCCTGTTTTCAGCCTATGGCCAAAGGAGTCTAGAAAAGTGAGTTTCCTGGTTCTCCTTTAAAGAGGCAAAAAAAAGTATGGGAAATTATCAAGATATAGAGAAGTTATAAAAAAAGATACCAGATAGCTAAAAATGACAAATGTTTGCTACCCATAGATAAATCAATTCCTTTCCAGAATGTATGCTTTCTGTCATCAATAACTAACCATTTAAATACCAGCATCATTTGTAATTACAAAAAAAAATTTCTAAGAAGATGTTATAATTCTGGATTGGAAACTTCTGAGAATTTATTAATTATCCATTACTGTGGGGAGCTAGATATATCAGAGCACAATTTATACAGAGATGTGAATATATTCTCGGCCTGATTATAAGAAAGCAAGTGTGAACAAGCATCTGAAAAACATTTGGTTAAATGGAAAGGTGTAGAAGACCGAGTGAAAAACTCAACATCTTGGAGAAGAGTTACAAATTCTGTGACAAGAATGGCTTTCTACTGTTAACTTTTCCTCTTCTACATACTACGCACTGAAGTTTATTTTTATTGCAGTTGGAATTTGACCATCTTAAGTATATGTTTTGGTGATTATAGTTTTCTTTAGCTGAAATTATCATAAATTTCTTCACTTATTAGCAGCAATTATGTGATAGTCAAGTATATTAGGAAGTAAACCTGTTGATTTGTCTCCAGGGTAACTTAGGCACAATTGGAGACAGGTGAAGACATAAAGAACGAGATAGATAATGTTATAATAATACAGAATAAGAATTGGAATTGTTATTTGATGAAATAAGAGTCCAGGTTTCATTTACTAAGTCAACATAATACCAGGAAATTAGACTAGCCCAACAATCCAAAATTATATATGTAGCAACTCCCAAGAATATTATCACTTTAAAATTCTTGAGATATATTAGCCCTTCAAGACAGAATCACAGAACATAGACATCTCAAGAGACCATCCCATCCAGTTACACTCTGCCTCCAGTCAAGATTACGGTAGTCATTGATTCCCAAAATGTACATTATGGTAATGAAGTTAGAGTTGATATAGGATATAACATCCTCATTTTACAGATTATAAAACCAAAATTCTTAGAATTGGAAAATGTATGCCCTCATTTTTATAAGTGAAAAGTTCAGAAAGTAAAAGCAATATGAAGAAATTCACATATGAATGGAAGAAAACATTTTAGAACACAGATGTCTTGGTGTTGAACATTGAGCCAGAATATCATTTCATAGAGTATACATGTCCTTAACTGCTACCCTATACTGCCTCTTGACAAAGGAGAAGTGTGGTTATTAAATATCAGAAGTCCAATTGCAAGTATAATAAAAGATATGTAAATTAAAATAAGAGGAAATTATGGTTCTCAGTTGATTCTTGTTATTTGCGGTAGTTATATTTTTTTAAGGATTTTATTTATTTATTTGACAATAAGAGAGAGCACAAGCAGGGAGAGTGGCAGGCAGAGGGAGAGGGAAAAGCAGGCTCCCCCCTGAGCAGGGAGCCTGACATGGGGCTTGATCCCAGGACCCTGGGATCATGACCTGAGCCGAAGGCAGACACTTAACGTACTGAGCCACCCAGGTGCCCCAGTAGTTACATTTTTAAAAAAGATTTTCTTTCTTTCTTTATTTGAGAGAGACAAGCAAGCACAAGCAGGGCGAAGGGCAGAGGGAGAGGGAGAAGCAGACTCTCCGCTGAGCAGGGAGCCTGACATGGGGCTCGATCCCAGGACCCTGGTTTCATGACCTGAGCCAAAGGCAGATGCTCAACTGACTGAGCCCCCGAGACACCCCAGCAGTAGTTACATTACATAAAGAACTGTGAACACTGAATTAGTGAATACTGAGCCATTGCTCCAAGGGGAAATACAAGATTATGTTTTGGAAAGCTTTTGGTTACAACTTTTCTTCAACTGAGAAATTTATAATGTTTAATTATATGCAACATTTGTTTAATTATATGCAGTATTTCTGTAGAATAAAACACTAGCTGAGAAGGGTTTACCATGATCCTCACCCTGGTAACATGAACATAAGTTTCTTTGGTTTTCAGCCTCACAACAATGCTGTCAACCATGGGTTGCTGTTGTTTTGTTTTGTTTTTAACCAGTCATCATCTCATGAATCCCCGTATTTAGCCGCCCTTCTGTCCTTTCCATAACTTCATCATAAGCTGTAGATGTTACTTCAGCACTTTCCACGGCAGCCTCATGTACAGATCAGAGAATTGGCTCTCCCTTTTTCTGGATAGACCATTGAACTCACAGCCTGTAGCACTATAACTCATGCCTATATGAAATTAATCTAACACAGGTATTTTCTCCAGAAGACACACCACAATTTCTTTCCATACACATAAAAAACCAAAATACAAAACAACAGCAAAAAGGAGATAGCACTTTAGCACAGTGCTTGGGGACCATTTTGAACAACAAAATTACCAAAACAAGCCCCCAAATGCAAAACTTGTGGCACTAAATTGACCATGAAAAAGACACTTGAGAGTTGAACCAAGAATGCAGAGTGTTGCCTTGCTTGACCTCAACTGGGTATGGTTTTTCACTACTCGGCACATGTCCACAAATGACCGGGAAAGTGCTGTTTGACTTTGAGGTTACAAATAAAGTCTAATGAGTAAGCAAATTCACAAATGCAGAATTCACAAGTAATAAGGATTGACTGTATATTGACCAAGATTTCAAAAGAAGGACAAGACTAGTGTGGCCAGAACGGAGGACAGGGATGTACTCCACTGGCGTGTGCCTTCTGAA